GGAGAACATACATTGATAAAGGATTTTTTTTCAAGAATAAAACAGGGCTTTTTCATACCAGGTAATTCCAGATCGCGGCTGTGGACAGGCACCTTCCAGGTTAATTTCAAACTGGATTCTGCGTAACTTTCAGTCACTGTGTTTTTTAAGGGTTTTTTTCTTCATATCCATGCTATTACATTGTATGGAAAGGTTTTGTTTTTACCAATGGTAAAATATATTTTTATAAGTAAGTGTCTGATTGCTTGATCTCTTGGTTGGTTGATTGAACACATCAATTGAACAGTTCGTTAATTGATTGACCGATTTTATTATTTAGTCCTTAGTAAACTTAACTAATTTATCGAATATTGTGAAGAAGGATCCGCAGTAATTAATGATAACCTATATTTATTATGAATAATGAATAATATCTGTCAGTTGCCTGATGATCGCGTAAAGCGTGAAACTCAGAGTAGCGACGCAAAGATTCAAACCTTGACTGACATTTGCCGAAAATTTCGCTTCTTTTATTGAGTAAATTGTCTTTGTTTATGTCCTTCAAAATGCAAAATTTTTCTTCCAAACATAAATTGCAGCGTTTTGATCCCCCTGTGTACGAAATAGCGTGTTTTAAAATTGACCATTTGATGGTATAATCCTGATTGTTTTCTTTTAATTTCCAAATATATTTCGAAAGTAAATGTAGTCGCTGTCATACCAATGTAGTGTTTAGTGTCGTTCGTGTTGTTCGTTGTGACGTTGCTTTGTAAATAATGTTGTTGGTCATCATTGTTTCGGTAATCCACACCTATCTACCAGAACGCTCTTACACATAGTAACTTTGATCATGAATTTACTTACACTGAGAATGCATAGGCAACGCAACATAATTTGGTTCAACCCACCATTTAGTAAGAGTGTTAACACGAACATAGGACGGGAATTCTTAAGTTTAATTGACAAACACTTCCCGCTACAGCAGAAACTACACAAGATTTTTAACAGAAACACTTTAAAAGTAAGCTACAGTTGCATGAACAACGTTAAGTCTATAATCACCAAACACAACGAAAGTGTAACTGCGACAACAAAAACACTTGCCCACTACCGAAACAATGTATGACCAACAACATTATTTACAAAGCCACAGTCACAACGAACAAAACGAACGACACTAAACACTACATTGGTATGACAGCGACTACATTTAAGGAACGTTACATCAAAACGCTGCAATTTATGTTTGGAAGAAAAATTTTGCATTTTGAAAGACATAAACAAAGACAATTTACTCAATAAAAGAAGCGAAATTTTCGGCAAATATCGTCACAAAAACCGGTTTCGAGTAAACAAGGTCGTTAACAAAACCTAATGACCCAAGCATGCATTGTTTCACCTAAGCATTGTTTCGATATATATATATATATATATATATATATATATATATATATATATAAATTGAAGCATATACCATATCATCAATTAAATTAAATTGAAGTATATTTCCTACAACTTTGTGCAAAGTAATATGTTTTCTTACGTGAATCCGAGTCCAATTTGGCAACACAGTAATCTTTAAGCCATCTCTCATTGAAGACGTTTCGTGCAATAACGGAGGTGACAATAATATTTTATAAGGAGACGAGTATAAACCGTTTGTTTTGTTTTTAATGGCCATCACATGTTTGTTTTATGTCACAAATATAACCAAAACGTACATAAATACAATCCAAAACGTACCAGGTGTCAGTTGACGTTTCCCCAGACAATCTAGGAGACAGTGTTTGCTGCTTTTGCTCTCGCTCAGGTATGGTACTCTTCATGTATTATGTTTCTTCAGTGGCAAGAGCTTCGACTGAAGTATCATAGGCCTCGCACAAATTCGCACTATTCTCCATATTTACATCACCCCCGCTATCACAAGAAACGTCTTCGGCAAAAGAGAGTTCGCAAGATGATTGTGTTGCAAAATTTGAGCTGTGGCTTTCGTCAGAAGACATAATTTTGAACAAAAAACAGCCTAGAATAAGCCTTTGGTAATATTAATTTCTCCTTCGGGAAAGAAGCGTGTTGAGTAAATGACGTCACATCCGGCTAAGAAATCGACACTTCGCTAATTGGCAACTCAGTAATGGCGGCCGAAAAATTTGCATGTTTGCGTTGAAAAAAAAGGCAGAAAGAAATGGAATTGGACGCTGATATTTGGTAATTTTGTTTATCTACTGATATACTTTCTGAATATACAATAAAAAGACAGCACAATTTTCCATCGCAGTGGCACTTTAAGGTAATTCTGCAGTAATTGTTCCCGAAATGAGAATGTGCTGAAACTTTTCCAGGCATGGAGTTTATGATATACTTAAAGTAAAATCACACAAAAAAGTCTGGGTCACCGAACTCATTAAGAAGATATGACAATCACAATATACCACTTTTACCCCCAATATGGCGCCATCTTGACGCTCATTACGAGTAACGGCAAAATCACAACAGCCCGATATTTATTGACGTTTTTAGCGCGGATTTTGCTTTAATAATCCTATCTTGTAATTATTTTTGAAAAAATATTGTGTTTTGAGCAAAATGAAACTACTAACGTGTACAATTCTGATCCACAAATGTCTTTTCCACATATCTTTACATGTCTTTCCGTTTGAGAATATGCATTGAAAAAGATTTTTTTTCAGGATCCAGAAATGATTTTTCTTTTAATTTCGGATATGAAATGTAAAATGCATTAAAGAAATAAATTATCAGTTAAAAAACGGGGATCACCGATCTTTTTAGGGAATTGTGGCATTAAAACGTGAAATACAAGTAAATAAATATACTACAGACACAGGTAACCCCAGCTACACTTTTGTATGCCTTTTTTGAAAACATTGATTTTAACGTAATTCTTTGCACGAATGTAACCAAAGATGTTTTGAAGTAAAATAATTTTTTTTGTATAATGGATGAAATTATATATTAAAAGATGTGCGCAGTAAAAGTGCGCAATGCAAAACTGCGGAATTACCTTAAGCATTTTGGGGAATTGGAACACTCTACAGTACTAAATTATTGTGTGGAAAGATTATTGGTACAAAGTTTTTAAAGAACTGAATATTCCATGTTAGAAAACAAGGGTAAGAAAATTTCAACCATAACTAACTTCTATAATTTTGCATACGTCAGAAAATTGTACGCGTCAACAGATGACCCCGTGTTTTCATTGTGTATGCAGCTCTACATGTGTAAAATCTCCATAAAGGTTCTATTAAATTTTTATTTGAAACAGCGCTGTATATACATATGTATATCGTTACAAAACTTTACTGAAAGGTGTGCAAATTATTAATTTCATTTTCTTTACCTGAAGGGAGGTCTGATGGTAAACTTGAAGCTATTGAAAGCATGGTTAACTTCAAGAGAAACGACTGTTTGGGCCATCCGCTGGTTATACGGTTCTTAAACGAGAAAATGAACTCTTCCAGAATTCTAATATGCTTTGTTCTCAATTTTGTACTATACACCACATTCCTGCTTGCTTTAACAACATATGGCGCCATTCAAAGTCAAGGTAATAAGAAAGGAAGCAAAAATGCTTGTACATGTTTTCATTTTAACTTTCCCCGAAAAATATTAAAAATATATGTCTTTACCCTGCATGTTTTGACCCCAATCTTTAATAGTGTTCATGCGTTTAAACCCACAATATAATTCACCTACTGTAATTAGCGTAACTATACTTAACTTTTAAAACTCAACCAACCGATTCAATCAGCCTTTCTCACGCAGCCATTTTTGGGGTACTGTAATTTTCCGTAAACGATTATAACAATGCGGAAAGCAATATTTCAGAACAAAATAACTATTTACAGGGTAAATTTATCATCGATCATACACCCACAAAATTATAAAATGTCGCAGTTATGCAAAAAAGTACCCCAAAAATGGCGGCGTGAGAAAGCGTACCGCTTAGTAGTATCACCGTTATCTAGCTTTTACTTCCGCTTGAGACTTTTGACTTCCGCCTGGGTCAAACATTTTTTTAGTGAAGGGGGCATTCGTCTTTTTTTGCGACAGTTACAGTTGGTTTCTTTGGTTGCGGTGAGTTGGGTCGATACAATTTTCGTGTTGTGGTTAGAAATGGTGGTCTTGACATTCTTCATGCAAATGTAACTAGTCTTGATTGAATTGCGGTTGAAAATCTTGTTTGTCATAAGTTGAAGAAAAAAAAATTACGAATGTTTGCTGTTACGTTTTTGCTGTAAAGGCGGTTTTCCAGTCCTTGCACAAAGTTCCTCGCAGCTCGCTGCGAGTTCTTGCATCTAATTAAAATTAACTGTTTAGCATTGTGATTGGATGAAAGTGCTCATGCATGCACTCGCAGCGAGCTGCGAGGTGCTTCGTCCGAGGACTGGAAATCCGCCTTAAAATGGGTTAAACCATATTACGTTTCTGTATTTTATGGGTTTAGGTTGGCTTGTACAATTTGTGTTGCGTTGCATTGTAAATTAAAATCATAATTACTGTGCAATGTAATGCATTCTCGTATAGGTTGGGGCTGATTGAGCATTTGCTGATCAGAGTGATCAGAGTATAGATTGTAATTAAAGGCTGGTAGATGGTTCGAGCGACTGTCAATGTCATTTAAGTTCATTAATGGGGATTTTCTATATGGTTGGTTGTAGAGGTGTGCAAATCCGATCCGATCGGATTCGTTCGGAATTCGGAACAAAATATACATTTCAGATCGCACATGTATTTCTTGCTTTTATATTTTTTTGGTTAAATATTTCAACTTGAATGAGAAATTTAATTTATTAAAGGATTCTTCAGATCGGATCGGAATTCTTTATCAAATATCGGATCGGATTAGACAATTTCGGATCGGGTTTTAAACATTAGCCAAGTGTCGGATTATAAACGTCCAATCCGATCCGATGAACACCTCTAGTTGGTACATGGTAGCGTTCCTCTGTTAGGTTAAATGTGACGTCTACAAAGTTGACAGATTGGTGGTTTACCTGGACCATGATCTTCAAGTTGAAATGTTCGAATAGTATATCTAATTTCTTTCGTACTTTTTCTGCAATACGTCCGCTCTTTCCTTTGATCAAAACAATAGTCCGTCATCTCGTTTATTAAACTATTACATTAAAATTTAATATATAGTATAGCTAAAATAGTCCAAGTTGGATCTGATAATTTATCAACTTATTTTGCAAAGCAAGTTCTAATAAATTTACGATTATTTTCCAGGTGTATACAGCTTGCATTCGCCTGGAATGATAGCATTATCAGTTATTATTTTGATAATATGTGCATTTCACTATATAAAAGAACTACTTCAGGTTGGTATCCATGCAATTTTTGTAAGAGAAATTACAAAAAGCAGAGCATTTTGAACTTTTTCAGCATAATTAATCAGCAATATGATACCTTATTTCCCGTCACCCCCTGCGCGCATATATTAAAAGTTGGTATTGCCTATTAAGAGGACAATTTTTTTATATATAAAGGGTAGCCTATATGTCAAAAAAGGTAACTTTTCTGTATAAATACGTGTGGGAATTAAATGGTTCTTTTCAATTTCGAACATTTGAACAAATACTGGTTCCCTGGCTGCAAACTTCCAATTTTGTGCGAAATGTTTTTAAACCGCATGAATGATAAGCAAGTTTTTAACAATACTAAGGCATTAGCTTTGTATTCAATTCCAAAATGTGAAAAAAGCGATTTCAAACGACCACTTGAAACTTGATGGTATTTGACTTTAGTCGCATTGAAAAAAACAGGTCTCATTTGACAACCAAAAGTCTGAAATCAGTTACTGCGTAAGAACGTTAAATCTACACAAACATACATTCCCTCCATCTGCAAACTATTCAACAAATCATTGCAACAAGGAACAGTGCCACAAGATTGGAAACTAGCGAACGTTATTCCCGTTTATAAGAAAGGTGACAAAGAATACACAGAGAATTACAGGCCAATTTCTCTCCTGCCAATTATTTCGAAAGTTCTAGAACGGTGTATTTTCATGAACATTCGACAACACTTTTCAGGGATAATTTATGATCACCAGCACGGATTCCTCCAAGGAAAATCTCGTGTGACTAATTTGTTAGAAGCATTAGATTACATCGGCGCTTGTCCGGACAAGGGAGGGCAGGTAGATATGGTATACCTTGACATGTCAAAAGCGTTTGACCGAATCAACCAAAAGCGATTGACGCAGAAATTAGCAAATTCACGTATTGGCGGTAACCTGCTAAAATGGTTTCAATCGTACTTGACTGACCGTCGTCAACGTGTTACTGTACTTGGTGTAACATCGAAGTCTCTACCAGT